AAGGCAAAACTGGAGAGGGATTAGAACATTTATCAGTATTTATTGCTGTCTGTGCCCCAATAAGAAGATTCCCTCTCTATATTTAGCCTATTTCCCCTATCATTGAAACAGTGGCTAAATGGTTAGCACTTCCCCCTGGCAGTACTCGGGTCGTTGGTTCAAATCTCAACCACGGCACCACCTGCCTGGAGTTTGCATGTTCTCCCTGTGCCTGTGTGGGTTTCTTTCAGGTACTCCAGTTTCCTCCCACACTCCAAAGACATGCAGATAGGTTGATTGACTCCTGTCTTAGAAAAAAAAAATGGCCTTAGTATATATACGAGTTAGGGTCCTTAGATTGTACGCTCCTTGAGGGTTAGGGACTGATGTGAATGTACAATATACAGGTGTACCTCGGCTAACACAATTTTTGGTTTACGAATGAAAATCCATTGAAAATAATGCCTCGGTTTACAAATTTTTTAGGAATTTTTTTTGCAATACGAAGTGTATGTCGGTGCCGATTTTTAAATGCAATTGCTGGCTTTTTTTTTTTCTTCTCTATAGCTCACAGAATTAGCTGTCACCTTCCCCGGAGCTAAAGGATACTTTGTTTCTTTTATCTCGGGAAACAAGCTAAAAGGAAACATTGTTTCTTTTGGGGAAATAAACTAAAAGGAAACTTTCTTCCTTTTAGCTGGGGGAAGTGACAGCTGATTCTCTGAGCTATAGTGAAGAAAAAAAAAGCCGGTAATTACATTTAAAAACCGGCACCGACCTATAGTGACAGAGACTTTTTTAAAACTTTTTTCTGACCTCCGAAATGGAGTAATTGGTTTTCAATGCATTCCTAAGGGAAACTGCGTTTCAGTTTACGAATTTTTCGCAATACAAAACGTCCTGGAGAAAGCATTAACTTCATAAACTGAGGTACACCTGTATGTGAAAAGCCCTGCGTAAATTGATGGTGCTATATAAGTACCTGTAATAATAATTGAAAGTAAAACAAAATCCCAAATTTTAGGTTGTCACCAGAAAAGTAAAAGAGGGGAATTCTTTCAATGAGGACACTAATTCTGGTGACATGGGGGCCCCCAAGGAATTCTCTTCATTTGCAGGCATTTCCTCTCACTTCCTGTTTGGCTATAGGACAGGAAGTGAAAGAAATTCTCCCCAATGGGACACAGATGGTGAAAAAAATTCTGACAGAGGGTTATACCCCTCCCATACACTATAAAAAAAAAACAGGTTTTGCCTATAGTTCTACTTTAATCTGGAGTAGGACCTTTTAAAGGGCCACACCATCAAAAATAGTGTTGCACATGTTTAATTGAGTTCACCCCATTGGGTGCAACAATGCAAATGTTATTAGTGAGGTGAAAACATTTAAATATTTCAAACTTCTATATCTGAGAATGAGTAGTCCCCAGGGCGGACTGACCATTCGGAAACTCGGGCACTGCCTGAGGGCCCGTTGTCAGTAAGGGGCCCCGTGAGATGCCCCTGGTACCTTTCATAGGCTTTTTTGGGTGTGGTTTGAGTGTGGGCGAGCACACAGGGGCCCCATGTACCCCTATTGCCCGGGGGTCCCATGAGTTGTCAGTCCACCCCTGGTAGTCCCAATGGGTCACTGTACGTTTGGTGGAAAAGGGCAAGGAAAAGGCTATTCGTGAACTGTAAAAAAGTGCACCTTTAAACAGCAAAAATCTTTCCACCAACTGCTGGGCCTGTGTCAGTACTTACATCTTCCAGCTGACCTGACCCTTACTGTACAGAATCCATCAGTCTGGCTATGATGAGCCAGTCTGATATAGATCCTGCCCCCCAGACAGAGAAATCACTTTTCCGACCTTGTACAGGTCAGGCAGCAGGGATAACATACAGTATTCTACAGTATAAGGTGCACATTAATAATTGCAATTTGGCTGCACATTGGTTACTAATTTCTACCTGTATACTAAAAGTACTATTACTGTTTTTACAGCAAACATTTCCATTCCCTTGTAGCAGCTTTAATAAAGTAGATCTAAACATAAGCAGGCCATAGATTTTACAATTTTCTTCCCTTCCAACATGGGTGGAAGGAAGGAAAATTACTCTATTGCCCTATCAACACAGCCAGAGTTGAGGGGGGAATCCCCACCGCTGAAACTATTGGGCTTTGCTAGGGGGTATCCTTCCCTGCTGGCAGAAGACTATGATTAGAGTTTCCTTCTATAGCTGCATGCAATAATCGTTCTAGAAAAAAACCAACAGGCTGGTTGTACATAAGTCGATTGATAGATCGATTGGTGTACAACCAGGGTGCCCATACACAGATCGATATTTGGCTGGTCCCTGCTGAACTGGCTGAATATCAATCCGTGTAAGACTGGCTTTAATCACAAAAACTTCGAACAGGGGCGGACCGACAACTCATGGGGCCCCCGGGCATTAGGGGATCATGGGGCCTCTGTGTCCTTGCCCAAATTCAAAAAAGCCTATGAAAAATGTACCAGGGGCATCTCATGGGACCCCCTACTGACCCCGGGCCCTCGGGCAGTGCCCAAGTTTCCATATTGTCAGTCCGCCCCTGACTTCGAATTAATGTTGTTTCAAAAAGTACTTGTAATCCATTTGAAAATGCGAAAACATACAAAAGTGTTTGTAACCCTTCAGCATTTTTTTAAATTAGAAAAACAAACAAACAACTTATACTTACCTGCTCTGTGCAATAGTTTTGCACAGAGCAGCCCTGATCCTCCTCTTATCGGGTCCCTCGCCAACGATCCTGGCTTTTCCTTTTCAGCCAGTGCCCCATAGACTTCAGCCTACATCCATAGACACAGACAGTGGGGCATGGCCCCGCCCCCTCATCACAGAGTTTGATTGACAGCTTTGGCTCCCACTGCTATGGATCTGCCCTGTGAGGAAGGACAGAGTCTGGAGAGCCGTTGCTCTCATGCACCATGCTGGATTGCGATGGGGCTCAGGTAAGTACAAGGCGAAAGGGATGGCTTGAAAGGGATCCCAGGCACAGAAAATTTTTTTACCCTAATGCAGGAATGGGCAACTGTGGCCCTCCAGCTGTTGTAGAACTACAAGTCCCATGAGGCATTGCAAAACTGACAGTTACAAGCATGACTCCCAAAGGCAGAGGCATGATGGGACTTGTAGTTCACCAACAGCTGAAGGGCCTCGGTTGCCCACCCCTGCCCTAATGCATAGGATGCATTAAGTTAAAAAAAACATTAAGGCTTTAAAACAGTTCCTGGTGATTCTGTCATAAAAGGCCTCTTTTCAAGCACTTCCTGATATGGGGTGACAACTGTCTCCCAGTTGTGCTTCTGCATTGTCAATCTGTCACATGTAGCCCCTACCGAGTCTGTAAGTGGCCAAACCAACACACATCTGCTGGCATGGTCCACCACTGTCACTACTGGGAAACTGGTTCAGAGCAATGATTTGCAACCAAACTTGTAGCAAGTGCATATAATGACAAACAGGAAGTGACTGAAAGAGACTAAAGGAGACCAGCAGGATTTAGGTGGGAAAAAAAAGGTGTGAATAATTCATGAAAAGAAAACAAAATGACAAATGTTTGTAATACACACTGCCTTGGGGTTAGGAATTAGATACTCTTTAACCCCTAGCCCTCCTAACATGATTGGATGATGGAAGCCAGCAGAGCTTTACCACATTTATTAAAGTGCTACTAAACCCAGGACCCTGCTTTCACTATATCTGGTCTCCCCGGACCCTGCATTCACTATATCTGGTCTCCCCCGACCCTGCATTCACTATATCTGGTCTCCCCGGACCCTGCATTCACTATATCTGATCTCCCTGGACCCTGCATTCACTATATCTGGTCTCCCTGGACCCCGCATTCACTATATCTGGTCTCCCTGGACCCCGCATTCACTATATCTGGTTTCCCCGGACCCCGCATTCACTATATCTGGTCTCCCCGGACCCCGCATTCACTATATCCACTCTCCCCGGACCCTGCATTCACTATATCTGGTCTCCCCGGACCCTGCATTCACTATATCCGCTCTCCCCAGACCCTGCATTCACTATATCTGGACTCCGTGGACCCTGCATTCACTATATCTGGTCTACCCGGACCCTGCATTTACTATATCTGGTCTCTCCGGATGAGTGAGTTACAGTTTTCTCTCCTGGGCCATGCATGGTCCCTTTTACCGTCCACCTGTAGTGTTAGAAAACAAATGAGGTTCTACAAGACAGGTGACATCCAGTGAATGCAGGGTCCTGGGAGACCAGATATAGTGAATGCAGGGTCCTGGGAGACCAGATATAGTGAATGCAGGGTCCTGGGAGACCAGATATAGTGAATGCAGGGTCCGGGGAGACCAGATATAGTGAATGCAGGGTCCGGGGAGACCAGATATAGTGAATGCAGGGTCCTGGGAGACCAGATATAGTGAATGCAGGGTCCGGGGAGACCAGATTTAGTGAATGCAGGGTCCGGGGAGACCAGATATAGTGAATGCAGGGTCCGGGGAGACCAGATATAGTGAATGCAGGGTCCTGGGAGACCAGATATAGTGAATTTAGCACAGTGGCTAAATGGTTAGCACTTCCTCCTGGCAGTACTAGGGTCGCTGGTTCGAATCCCAACCACGGCACCACCTGCCTGGAGTTTGCATGTTCTCCCTGTGTCTGCGCGGGTTTCCTCCGGGTACTCCGGTTTCCTCCCACACTCCAAAGACATGCTGGTAGGGTAATTGGATCCTGTCTAAATTGTCCCTAATATGTGTATGTATGAATGTGAGTTAGGGACCTAAGATTGTACACCCCTTGAGGGTTAGGGACTGATGTGAATGTACAATATATATGTAAATTGATGGCGCTATATAAGTACCTGAAATAAAAATAAAATAGCTCTGGCAAAAACAAGCTGAGTACACAGGTAGTGTTCTGCTGCCCTCTAGTGAAGATATGTCAATACAGCATGTAAGAAAGTAACTTACAATTCAACCAGATTTGGAAGCTTCTGGGCAAGATTTTTCTGGCTGCAAAATAAAAAGACAATAGTTCATTCCCACATTTCTGCCTGTGTTAATATGTACAACCTGACATTATGGAAGATATCTACAGTGAAATAAAAAAAAATACTTCTACAGAAAACATCAAACATAAATACTCCCCGTATTTGTCATTTACAAATCATCAAGTATTCTTATTACTCTTGGGCTCTTCAAGGCCTAGTTCATATGAGTGGCTAAAACAGGGTGTGAGAGCCCAATGAACTCAAGGGGTTAGATTTCTAAAGCAGAGAATCTGGTCATTTACTGTAGGTGAATGTTCCTGGTATGTGCATTAAAGCTGAACAAACATTTTCATTTAAATCTATCGCTCAGGAGCCACAAAGGATATAACTCTACTTTGCATGCCCCAAATTCACTTACAAACCCAGATATTACCTTGTAAAAGTAGCAACTTCCAGTGCCGGGACAAGGTCATCTGGTGCCCAGGGTGAAGATGGCAAACTGTGCCCCCCCCCCCATCTTGTGCGCACGAAACCCTAAAACAAGCAACGTCATACGGGTACGTTGCAGTGCCAGTAGCTGCTGCCTCACTGCAGTATATGTTCTGCGGCAGGTCGGCACGTGGCTTATTACCAATGATATTTGTAATATGCAGCATGAAGGGGGTTAATGTTCTACCCGCTCACTGGTCACTGATGCATTAGTGACTAGTGGCAGGTAATTAACCCCTTTGTGGTGCAGTAGTGGCACCAGTATCAGTGTTTATAAACCCCTTCATGCTGCAGCGTAAAGGATTTAATGAATTTGTATGAAATTCATTATTTCAATGAACTGACCACCCCTCACACCCCCAACTCCAAAGAGCTAACCAATTCATCTGCAGATGCCCATCTGCTTACTTGTTCCACGCTGGTCCCTCTAGGTGGCACCGGTGGCAGCAATCTCCGCTCCTCTCTCACCTCGCCTCCAGGCCTCTCTATGTCATACTGGGCCGGGACTAGAAAGAGCCCGTCAGGTGGAGATCACTCCGCCTGACAGGCAAGTGAAGGGTTGGTCTGGGTGCAGGAGTGCACTTGGCACAGCATTGCAAGCTCTGGCTCTGACTGCAAGTATTATATCGCGGTCGGTGGCTGCGGTAAGCTATGTACATTGAATGTACTCGTCCAAAGTTTTAGCAGCACTTCACCTGTTCTGCGCCCCCCCCCTTACTCCAGTGAATTGTGCCGCCCAGAGCTTCGCCCCTCCCATCCTGGCCTGGCCCTGGCAACATCAACATAATCACTGTGCTGTACATAGCCTGTGCAGAGAGCAGAGCTGTGGGAGGGGCTCAGCAGGTTCCACCCATTACAGTCTGCCTGCAGAAAACTACAGGAGGGGGCGGAGACCAGACCAGTCACCATGCACAAGGAGAGCGAGCAGCAGTGAGCGGTCTTTATTACAGGAAGCTCCTGCACAAAAGTCTTTTACTGTGTGAAGGGAGTCACTTTGGGTGGGGGGTCCATGGAACACGCCTCACTTTGAGAGGTAGGGAGACCCCTGTGTCAGCTCCCCATATCCCTGTTATGTGTAAGTCACCCTGTGCCTGTTAGGGGTACAGGGTGATCTGTCCTAATATCGGGGTGGGGGGTTGTTGATTGTTTAATGCCATGTGGTTGCATCCCATTGTTCTATTGTGTGTCTTGCTTGGGAGCAAACTATTATGGGATGTATGTGTGTATGTGTATTGGCTTGGTGGGGGGGTGTCTGCAGCAGCCTTCCTTCCTGATGGGACTGCCTGTTGGTGTGTCTCTTGTTACTGAATGTAGATTGCCCCGCCCTGTGTCATTATGCAATTATGCAGGGGGGGGGTTGTTCCCTTGAGTGTATATATCTTGTATATGTGTTAAAATAAACTAGTCTATTTCAAGGTTTACTTCAGGACTGGTGTCATCTAGTCTTGTTTGGTCTGCTGTGGTGTCTGTTGTCGGTGTTTGGATGGGGAAGCGGCATTATAACGGAAGTAACCAAGTGCAGTCTGGGGTCGGTTCCGTTACACACTGGATGACTGCACAAATCAAGAAGAAATACACAAAGCTCACCAAGATTCAAAACAAGAACACACAATGAATGGATTTTAGAGAATATTTGCTTATACCACAGTTCAGCTTTAAATGACAGGAGTGAGTGATTCACTACCAGTTCTCTGCTTTATAACTATCCCCCAAAGTGTGTATTGAGCTGTTCCCCTTCCTACTTGACATTTGGGGAATCCTGTCAGGATCGTGCACTACTAGAATCATTTAGCCTGTTATATAGGGCTTGCTGTACTAAAACTGGAGAATGCAAAATCTGGTGCAGCTCTGCATAGAAACCAATCAGCTTCCAGGTTTTATTGTCAAAGCTTAATTGAACAAGTTGATTGGCTACTGTAACGGAACGGACCCAAACTGCGCTTGGGTACTTCCGTAAGAATACCGCTTCCCAGTCCGAACACTGACACCAGACACCACAGCCGACCATACAAGACTAGATGACACCAGTCTTGAAGCAAAACAGGAGGTAGACTACTTTATTTCAACACAGATACAAAATATATACACTCAGGGGACAATCCCCCCTCCCTGCATAATGACACAGGGCGGGGCAATCTACATTTAGTAACACACAGGTATTCAAACTTCACACCAGCAGACAGTCCCATCAGGGAGGGCTGCTGGAGACACCCCCCACTAAGCTAATACACATAACATCCCATAATAGTTTGCTCCCAAGCCAGACAAACAACAGAACAATGGGATGCAGTCACATGACATTAAACAATGAACAATCCCCCCCCCCCCCATCTCCTAAACATGTCTACACAGTCTGAGACAAAGCCCACACAATATTAGGACAGACCACCCTGTACCCCTAACAGCACAGGGTGATTTATACATAAGAGGGATATGGGAGCTGAGACAGGGGTCTCCCCACCTCTCCAAAGTGAGCTGTGTTCCATGGGCCCCCCACCCAAAGTTACAGCTGCACCTGATTCTGTGTGCTCCAGTTTTAGTGTCGGTTCACACTGATGCGATGTGGAATTCGCACAGGTTTCTGTGTGATTCCCACACCACATCAAAATCGCACCCTATTCATGCGAACCTCTGCAGGTGTGAATATTAAAGACACCCCAAAAATCAGTTTTCATTTGCAAAATGTGGTGCAATTTGCAGAATCGGATCACATGGGTGTGAACATCCATGCGATCCGATTCTGGTGCGGACAAAAAAAAAGGTCCTGCATGATTTCGGTGCGAATGCGGTGCGATTTGAGCTATACAAAATGTATGGCTCAAATTGCACTGCACAGAAATCGCATGTGATTTGCACAGGAATGGTGGTGCGATTCCTGTGCGAATCACATGTGATGTAACTCCTCCATATTGTCCTTGGATTTGCAGCCCTGGCATAACTCTGAATGTTCATGTCCTTCTGCTCTATGTGTTACAAATCATGCTGCATATAATAAAAAAAGATAAAGAAAAATGAAAAATGTTCAATTGCTCTATAAACAGCAACATGATCTGATTCAAGGTCTCATGCACGTTTAAGAACACATTTCAAAACATTTCCTTTAATTACGGATCTGAATGGAGGTATATTGTTTTCTATGGGGACATGTACACAAGTGGATATGCATCTAAATCTAAATATTCACGCCTGAAGACATGCATTTTATGTACAGTTGCAAGAAAAAAGTATGTGAACCCCTTGGAATTACATGGAGTTTTGCATGAATTGGGCATAAAATGTGCTCTGAACGTCATCTAAGTCACAACAATAGAAGAACACAGTCTGCTGAACATAATACTACACAAACATTAGATGTTGCCATGGTTTAATTGCACATAACATGTAAACATTCACAGTGCAGGGAGAAAAAAGTATGTGAGGCCCTAGCTTAATGACTTCTCCCAGAGCTAATTGGAGCCAGGAGTGAGCCAACCTTGACTCCAATCAGTGTGATGATATTGGATGTGTTGCTGACAGCTGTCCTGCCCTTAAAAAACACACACCTGTTTTGGGTTTACTGGTTTCAAGAAGCACTGTCTGATGTGAACCATGCCTCGCAGAAAAGAGCTCTCAGAAGACCTACGATCAGGAATTGTTGACTTGCATGAAGCTGGAAAGGGTTACAAAAGTATCTCCAAAAGCCTTGATGTTCATGTGTCCATGGTAAGACAGACTGTCTACAAATGGAGAAAGTTTAGCACTGTTGCTACTCTCCCTAGGCGTGGTCGTCCTGTAAAAATGACTGCAAGAGCACAGCGCAGAATGCTGCATGAGGTAAAGAAGAATCCCAGAGTGTCAGCTAAAGACCTACAGAAATCTCTGGCACATGCTAACATTTTTGTTGACACATCTACAATAAGGAAAACATTAAACAAGAATGGAGTACATGGGAGGACACCACGGAGGAAGCCATTGCTGTCCAAAAAGAATATTGCAGCACGTTTGAAGTTTGCAAAAGAGCACCTGGATGTTCCACAGCACTACTGGCAAAATATACTGTGGACAGATGAAACCAAGATTGAGTTGTTTGGGAAGAACACCCAACACTATGTGTGGAGAAAAAAAGGCACAGCACACCAACATCAAAACCTCATTCCCACTGTAAAACATGGCGGAGGGAGCATCATGGTTTGGGGCTGCTTTGCTGCCTCAGGGCCTGGACGGATTGTTGTCATTGATGGGAAAATGAATTCTAGAGTTTATCAAGACATTTTGCAGGAAAACGTACGACCATCTGTCCGCCAACTGAATCTCCGCAGAGGATGGGTGATGCAACAGGACAATGACCCAAAGCATACAAGTAATTCAACAAAACAATGGCTGCAACAGCACAGAATACGCCTTCTGGAGTGGCCCAGTCAGAGTCCTGACCTCAACCCGATTGAAATGCTGTGGCATGACCTTAAGAGAGCGATTCACACCAGACATCCCAAGATTATTGCTACTCTGAAACAGTTTTGTGAAGAGGAGTGGTCCAAAATGACTCCAGATCGT